AAAAATTAATAATAAATTATCCAATAGGATAGTAAATATTTTATATATTACTAATGTTTGGAGTGTGGTATATTATTATTTATATATAAAATTTTAAATTTTTTTTATTGTTGTTTTCTTAAATTTACATAGCTTCTGTTACCATCTCATTTTATCTCTTATTTTTTTTTAAATTAAAAAAGTTTATATCATATTCATATACAGTCTCATTATAGATCGATAATTTTAAGATCAGAAATAAAATAAAAAATAATCAGATAAAAAATATTATAATAAGACAAACCAAATTCGAATAAGAAGTAAAAATAAAAATAAAAATAAATTTTCATATTTTTGTTTTTCCGTAAAACTCTCGTGCTTTGTTTTATGGAATCATTTAAAAACCTTAAAACGCAAATTTTATAATAAACGCATATGCGGATCAAATTTTAAAATAAACACGTGCGTGCAAGACAACCATAAGAAAATTATTTTCTTCATCAAATCAATTCCTCAATGTTAAAAAGATGAGCGGAGAACTACCGGATAATTTTATTAAAATGATTTCACAAATTTTATAACAAATATTTATTATAATTTTTAGTGAAAATAATAATATATTATCTAATATACTATATTTATTTTCATAATTAAATCAAATATTATATTTTGATTTTTTAAACAATTCTTTGTTATTTTTGTTAATATTTAATATAACTTTTAATTTAAAATCATATATCATAAAACGCTAAAAATAAGAATTTTTGAGTACATACAAAATAATAAAAACGATTTTTCGAGATTGTTGTTAAACGCCAAAAACTGTATCGTGTAAAAACTTAAAATTTATAGAAAATATCACAAAACTAACCAATACCTAAATATTACAATTCACTTATTTTTTACCCATACGTACATGCATAATTATACATATTTATTTCTTTTTTGGAATTCAATTATACATTATAAAATATTATTACAAAATATATACTATGTTATTATCTTTTAACACATAAAAGTCATACTTCGATTTTATGTTTGTCTACATATGCCTGTTTTAGTGTGTAACAATAATCATACAAATATTTTATATTTTTATGCATTTTAATACTGATTTGTTTTTAAAATTTTTATTTTTTCTAATATTTACAATAACATATATTTTCAAATATAAAAAATATATTAAATAATAATTAAATTCTTATAAAATAATTTAATTTTGATAATATAAATATTTTTACTTGACATGTTGCTAATTAAATCAAAATAAATATTATCATTTTTACTTATTCTTCAATTATAGTCAGAAAATTCAAAAGAATTTAATCACCTTCAAAAACAGTCAGAAAATTCAACAAAATTTAAAAATCTGGTGTGAAATCTTTATAAAAAAATTCAGGACCAACTTTATTTTAAAACTTACAAACTATTATTTATCTAAATATGGTTTTAATAATAATATAATTCCGTCAACCATAAAATTACCACTTTTAGGAAAATATAAATCCCATATGATGGTATGATGGTACGGTGTATATATCTGTTTAAGCTCCAAAGACCTAGACTTGTTATAGTCTCGAATTTGATTCTTCAGTGTGCAAATTTTTTACGTGGATCATTTGGTTACTTAGAATTTGGTCTGGACATTTTATATATGATGGGATTTGCAGAATTGCTTCTTCTTCTTTTTTGTCAAGGGGTCTAATTACTTTCAAAATTGGAAAGTTCAACGAAATATATATATGATGTGAAATCTTTTAAAATAAATAAGAATCAATTCTGTTTACAAAATTACAAGGAATAACTCCGACGTCGGCCGGTGAAACAGAGAAAGATCGAGATTGAAAAAATCGGTTTGGATAATAGCCACGGGAAACTGTATAGTAACAGAGAACATGTTTTTCAAATTAATTGTAAAAGTCTCATATTTTTCCTTTTTTTAAACTACGAGTCTTGACTCTGAAATTTATCTAAATAAATTGAGCAACGCCTTAACTCCAAACTTTAGAAAATCAACTAAAGATATATAATGTTTTTGAAGTTTAACAATTAAAATTTTACCCTAACATTATAGCTAGAGTGTACAGAAAAACAAGAGCATAAAGGAATAAAAGGTTTATCAAATCCATGACAATTAGGGTTTGGTGAGTGAAAACGAAAGCATTAACAATTACTGACTAAATGGATCAACTTTTCTTACCCAATAAAATAAATATAAAATAGCGAATATATATGTAGCTGTCTAGGAATAATTAGGAATTGCGCTGATTAATAATACTGTATAAACTGTTATCAAAGACTTAAAGTTTGTGGTCATCACTCAATTTTTTTTTAATTCGACCTATATAATTAAGTAAGTGTATGAGCTGTGGAAAAAAAAACGTTTGTTCTTTTACTTAAGCTGATTGGTTTTTTATTTCACATCACACTCGATTTGTATGTCTTCGAAAACATCGAATACATAGGAATTAATTAGAGTTTGTAATTTTGTGATACGATTTTTCTCCAGCATCATATATCCTGGAAAAAAACTACTAATGAGGAACAAAAAAATTAGGCCTCGCATGACAAAAAAAGATATCAGGTCTCGCAGGACAAAAAGACATATTTATACAATATTATGTACTCCTGTCGTTTCAAAAAGATAGAGTTTTAGTTTTTTGTTTTGTTTTATAAAGCTAAATGTTTTAAGTTTTCTGTATTTATTTTTTTTAACTAATGGTAACAGCAAATTTCATATTTCACATCACAGTTCTTATTTATTGAAAGTAATTGTATTTCATGAATTACTATTGGTTTGGAGTCATATAAAATTGTTTAACTAAAAAAATGTATATATTTATGATTGAATATTAATCATTTTGAATGTGTGAAAATCCTAAATATTGTTTTTTTTGAAACGGAATATATGTCTATGTATGTCAATTTTAAAGAATATTTTCCAGAGCGATAGATAAAATTTAGTTCACACAAACAAAAATTAACAAAAGAGATCATTTAATTAATTTTTAATAAAGAAATTATTTAATTTTGAAATGATATGATTATTGATTGTAGACTTATAATACAGTATCCTACTAACACGAACAAAAAAATTGGATAGTTTTAAATAAAATAAATTGTATTCTATATTTTTATTTCTCATGTGAATGCAACTCGATTTCGGAGATCCCCCTTGTTACTACTACGCAAGCAATCATTTGATTTGGTTAAAACGAGTTCTTTAAAAAAGTACACATTTGGTCAAAAAGTCTGTAAAAGTAAAACTAGATTAGTTTTTCTTTGCTTTAATTTGCAAAATGCATGGCTTTTATTCACCTGTGGCGGTAGTTGATATTTAAACTCATCCTGGTTTATTACAACCGACCAAGTTTATAAAAAGAGGTTTTGTCTAAATCATTGACTGACTTTGTGAAAAAATTAACTGATTGATCGGTGGTAGTTTGCATTCACGTATAAAAAGTAAATAATGATAGAGTTTTACTAAGCCGAAACATTTATATCATGGGCCTTACGTCGGCCTAAGTATTCGCTGTATTATATGGTTAATAAAATGGCCGTTACAGCCCAAATTCCAATGAAAGACGAAAATATACCGTTGATATAAAGCTGTTAAATGAATATTTTCGTTCAATGAGGATTGTGAATAATTTCAAATGAAAAAGAAAAAAAAAGTCGATGTTGGGTTTGAATTTGGCTGGCAACACAATAAAATTATAGCAAAACTATTGCATATTTTAGTCAAAAATAAATTTATATGGAAAGGAAGTTAGTATATGTTTTTGTTTTAATCTGAAATGATGGATAGTGTTTCTTGGTTTAAGAAGAAAATATATATGTGGATCTTAAGGGATCATGAAGGTGAAGCATGTAGGAGGGTATTTAATGTCTTTAAGTGGTTTTAAAATACCTTTTGTAGTCTATTGAAAGTATGTTATTACATAAGTGAATCAATTTGTGTTTCCAACAAAAACTTTTGATGCTTGTAACTGAACTTTCATTCTACTATCTAATCAAATGACAAAAAAAAAACAAAAGTTTGATACTAGTAGTCTTTTTCTCATAGAATTATTTTTACGAAACGATTTATAATATAAAATGGACATGTAAATAAAAGCAATGGTGATCACTTCATATCGCACCGATACTTTAGTGGAACTTCACGTCTCTTTTGTGTAATCACGTGGTCGGATTAATGGCTAAGCATTTAGCAAAATAAACTAACATATATACGTTTCATATATTTTTATACTTATAATCATGTTCATACAGATATATATATATATATAGACAATTATATTTAGTACAAAAATATAACTATGCCGCTTATAAAAACTTTGTTTTGTTTATAAAACAAGTGGATCTTATGTTCTTATTTAAATGTCGTCATGACTTGGTCCAACGCACATTTCACAAGTTGCTCGGCGCATTTCGTGTTAGTTAGCCACCGAATTAGAACTTTTGTACAGTACTCTTTTTTAAAATACTTTATCTTCAAAAACAGTCTTATAGTTTTAGTTTTGTAAACCAACCAATACTTCAATAAGAATTTCATCTTAAATTATTTTTGTTTTATAGAGAATACTAATCAAAATGAAACAGAAATTCAGTATAATTTATATATTTTCCGAATTAGATCAATTTTTTAACCAATTATATTCTAAATTTTCAAAGAGTCTGAAAGGGTTCTGAAAGGGTTTTAGATCTTAAAAGAAAGAAAGCAATTCAGATTAAAATGGTACAATTAATTAATCTGGTTTGAAACTAATGTAAACCACGAAAATCTATCTCGATAAAATTTTGTTATGGATACATTTTCCAAATCGTGAATGAGTCTTCTAACATTGAAAAAGAAAGTTGACCCTAAAATAAAATAAAAACTATACGAAATGAAAACAATAAACTCCACTAAAAAAGGTCAAAAGGTTGACCAACGAAAACATCTAACCAAGTCTTCTTCCACTACATCTCTACTCTATATAACAAGAAAACCAAAACTCCATCTTCACACACACACACAGATACACACGCAAGAAAGAACAAACATGGGGAAACAAATTCCTCTTATGCTATGTCTCTTCCTCTTCATCTTCTCAATCTCATCATCTCTCCAAGAAACCGAAGCTCGAAAACATTCCATTAAACCGGCGCCAATCACGAGACTAGTCTCAAGATCTCTCTACGACTCAATCTTCATCCACAAGGAAAACAACGCATGCCCTGCGAAAGGTTTCTACACCTACGAAGCATTCGTGGAGGCTACAAGGCGCTTCCCGAGGTTCGGGAGCGTGGGAACTAGCACGACAAGGCGGCGTGAAGTGGCTGCGTTCTTGGCGCAGATATCTCACGAGACGACAGGCGGTTGGGCCACGGCACCGGACGGACCGTACGCGTGGGGGCTGTGTTTTAAAGAGGAAGTGAGTCCACAGAGTAATTATTGTGATGCTTCTAATAAGGACTGGCCTTGTGTCCTTGGCAAGTCTTATAAAGGAAGAGGTCCCATTCAACTTTCTTGGTACGTCTACAATATTAATCACTAACCAATAACCATACTAAACCGGTCGTATAATAACTGTCATTTTAATACGATCGTTGACCGCATAATGCATGATTTTTACAGGATGATATATGATTTTCCCCAATATGATTAGTCACCTAATAAACCCATTATGAGAGGTAACCTATGAAGTAATAAAAGAAGATTCCGCAAACCCATATACATTTTACCAATTATTTATATTATCATTCTCTGTTAAATTTGAATAATATCATTTTACAATTTTAGTAAAATCTAGAAGAACTCATGACGTTACCGAAAATGAAAAAAAAAACTGCAAATGCAATGATATAAAAATTATGCTAATATATAGTATTTTGTTAGTTTGAATAATATAAAACCACATAATTCTTTTTTCAATTTTTTTTAAAGAATATTATGTTTTTAATTCAAGAAAAGAAATTCAATTGAGAAACAAAAAAAACATCCAAGAAATTGATAAAACATTTTACAGTACCATAATTTTGCAAACTACCAATTAAATTCTTTTTCTAATTGACTACTTATTCTATTCGGATTTTTTTTTATATGAGTCTTAGCTTTTGGTTAATCATATTCTTTTATTTTTGGATGGTCAGGAATTACAATTACGGTCAGGCGGGTCGAGCTCTGGATTTCGACGGTTTAGGAAACCCAGACATTGTTGCCAACAACTCCGTTTTAGCTTTCAAGACAGCTCTCTGGTTTTGGATGACCGAACAGGCTCCCAAACCGTCGTGCCATGACGTCATGACCAGCCGTTACAGACCAACGAGAGCAGATAAAGCAGCGAACCGGACTGTTGGTTTCGGTTTAACCACCAACATCATAAACGGCGGGTTAGAATGTGGGATTCCAGGAGATGGACGGGTCAATGACCGGGTCGGGTATTTCCAAAGATACGCTCAGTTGTTTAATGTCAACACAGGACCTTACTTAGACTGCGAGAACCAAAGGCCCTTCTCTTAGGCTATAAAAACTACAAATTCCAAACTCTCGAACTGTTATCTATAAACTAAGATATTTGTATCAATGGAAATCAAAGTTCAATCATAATAATAAAAACCCATCAAGCTGAGAGACAGTGAGAGAGAGAGAGAGAGAGAGAGAGATTTAATGTTTTACAATTTACTTGTAAGCGTACCGGGACAAGAAGTTGTTTACTTCGTTGGCGGTTTCATATGCGCCTTCTACACACCGGCCTAAGGCTACACCAGCGACGTAGTTTCCGCCCAAAATGATCCCTTCGTAGCCCGAAGACGTTAGAGATGATTTAGCTGTGTCAAGGATATCAAAGTGACCAACTAGAAACTGAGGAATGGCTTGAGGCCACACCCTCACTCCTAGTTTAAGCGGATCAGTCGAATTCGGCTTTATTAGCATTTTCCTCAAATCCCGATCAACCGCTTCCACCAACTCTCCTTCTGACTGCGGAATCAAAACCAGAGAGAGAGAGAGAGAGAGGAAAAGATTGCTTCTTTAGATGTTCTTGTTCTAAGAAGATTGTGTTACTAAGCGTGTGTTGTTTTCTTACCTTGGATAGAATCCCGGTGTTGGTAGACCCACCAATGAAGTTCAATAGCAAGATTCTTCCGGGCGGTGCTCGATTTGGAAAGAGAGAGGAGCTGTATATAGTTCCTGAAGAAAGTCCGAACAACAACATTGAGCTTTATATGAATGTTTAAACATGATAGAAGATTGAAATTACAAGATTCTTTTACCTAGAGTTTCAACTCCTTGTGTACGTGGATGCAATTGCCCAAAACCCTTTAGTTCACCATCTATCAAACATTCTGTTCGGATTGCTTCTTTCGGGTATGAGATCGATACTGCAGCAACTGGTGGATAGTACAGTTTTGAAAGTGCATTCGCTGCAGATTCCTGAGGATCAAACAAATAGAGACAACAGTTGCAACACTATAAGAAACCACATGTGTCTACTCGAATCTACGCGTTAGTGTAGTTGACAAAAAAAAAACGAGAAACTTACAGAAAGAGGGCGCAAGAGACTACTTGCAACATGAGATGGCACAGTCATTACAACACTTTTGCTCTGCACGGTAACTACACCATCTGGAGTCTCATAGGTTAAGCTGTATCCTCCACCGTCCAGCTTAGTAATACCTGAGAGCTTCCAGGACAACTTGACTTTGCTACCTAACCTGTCAAATACCAAAAGACCTCAGCAAAAAAAAACTTGAAAGTGTTTGCCTTTTTCCTTTCCGATAGAGAGAGACAAGTATACCTTGCAGATATTGCTTCTGGCAACATTGTAAGTCCCTTTCTGAAAGAACCAACTGTTTGGCCCTTTGGCTTTGGCAGGCGCCTGAAGTAGCAAGTTGAGTTGTTTTACAAATCAATATCTATATCAAGAGACAACAGACACCAAGAAACTGAAAAGGTTAATGGTACTCACGGGTCTCGTTCTGCCTTGGGAGCATTTTTCCTCTCCTGAATTGCCTTAAAAGTACCACCTATGATGCTTCCACCGTTTTGCTCTAGTTTCCAAACCTTCCCAAATGCTGCTTTCATACTCAGTTTTGAAGGGTCACCCGCATAAACACCTGAAAAGCATGGACTTCAAAGCATCAATGGTGCGCTAAAAGAAACAGAGCAAATCTTGGTTTTTTTACTTCTCACTGAAAACAAGATCAATTTGTCACTCTACCTGAACAAAATGGTTCGATCAGGCGCTCAAAAACCTCATCACCTAGGTTACGCCGCACAAACTCCTCCACCGACTCTTCACGACCCTGTCACCTTTGTCAAACTCTAAGAACATGAGAAAAATTAAGCTTAAACTTCACGGAAACTTGTGTATGTCTACTTGTGATCAGAGTACAAACTGGAGGTGGTGGACGAAGGCCGATAGCACCAAGACCAGCCCTGATCTTCCCACCAATGCTCATCAAATCGAAGAACGGTAAATCAGTCGGCTTTGATGGAACCGGCCTCAGTTTCCCATTCCACAACACAAACCTTGGCGCATTAGGATCTCCCAACACCAAATCCTCCTTCAAACCACTATCTACCTGAACCAACCATAAACAGAGAAGACTTTTAACTTCACGAATCAAAGACCTTAATCACAACTATGCAGGCGATTCAATAGCATTGTTTCCAGTAAAAAACGGAACTTTCAAAATCAATTTTATAGCCTGCCTTAGTCCGTGTGAATCAAAGTCAACTGGTGAGCAGATTTAACAGTCGAAGCAGTGACGGGTTCAAGAACTTACCACCATGGTAAGCATAGGATCAGACGGCTGAAAACTATTGGGACCTTCTTCCCAGAGATAACCATTCTCTTCACGAGTGATAATGTTGCCTCCAACACGATCCTTAGCCTCGGTCACAATCAAATTCGGCGCAGCATCAGGATGCTTCGTAGCGAGCGCCTGGGCAATGCAGAGACCGCTAATACCGCCGCCGACGATCACACAGTCCGCCGTGACGGTGGTGCCTCCGCCTTCAATTTTTGAAGATCCGACGGTGGGACCACCGGCTACTGAACAACGGAGTCTAAGAGGCTTGTAGAAATGAACTCGACGGTTCGGCTTCGAAAACGATGGGAGAAGCGACTGAGTCGCCGGACGAAGAAGAGATATCTCCATGGACATCGCCACGAGCGAGAGAGAATTCGCAATTTTGTCAGCTCTCGCGTTTCCAGATTGGGCTATCTTCAGAAGATGACGAAGAGAAATATTCACCTGGATACATTCTCACAATAAGTCTGTAGACCATTTTCTTTGATTTGGGTTTAAAGTTGGGTTTGAACCCGATACGTTAATTTTGAGTTCGGGCCATATTTGTAGATAGATAAAACTATAGGCCCAATAAGAATTGCGTTCTTTTATCTATTAAGAACGCTCATTGGACGATTGAAAAAAATCAGTCATTAAGTAGGACATAATTAAAACATTATTATCTTCACGAACATTTGAAGCCACAAGTACCGAAGTACGTATACATTTGTTTCTTAGGGTTTCAAGTTTGTGATTTCTTGATTACCCGGTCCAAAAATCTTGTTTATAACTTTATACAAAGATCGAAACTTTATAACACAGCATATATATACTGGCGAGACAATACCTTTACTTTACCGCCTACGATTTTTGTTTTTCACATATTGATATTAGGTCAAAATGAAATACATTTAGATGTAGTCATGTAGATATCACTAAGAGTAATATTGATTGAATTTTGTAATCAACAACTCGATTTCTTGTGGAATTATACGTTACATTGTAGTGATTTTCTTTGCAACATTTTTTAATGTAGTTTATAAAAATTGATCTACCTCAATTTTGTTAGTACCATACGGCAAACTCTAGTTTTTTTTATAAGTTTTAAGAGAAAAAATAAAAAGCAGACCAAAAAAACAGGTTAAAACTTTCAAACCCATATTGTTTCTCCTTTGGTTTGCTTTGTCATTTTGATAGAATGGTTTGATTTGGTTCATTTGAATGTCTTTGAGTTTTGTCCATTCACGTTCTAAGCTTTTAATATATTGAAGTTTGTGGTTATAGACGACGGATCGTATGACTTTGTAAGGTCACACCAGACGAAGAAATATGTTAAAATGATTGAAAATCAGTATGTACACATGCCCTTATCGTAGAATGAGCCAAAAAGCCATTGTCGTATATTTTTAAAATATATATAATATTGTCATATATATATATATATATATATATATATATATATTAAGTTACTTAGGCTTCCAACCTAAAACTAATTAGCTTTATATATTAGTTAGGATCTCTTCCAACTTCCGATGTGGGATATTATCCCTAATACGCCCTCTCGAGACGATGGTTACTTTGGCTATTGATCTCGGTAATATTTGGGCAAGAATCAATGGACCATCTTTGGGTCACATATCGATTATGGAACGGGTTAAATTGTTTGGATCGGACTCTGATACCATGTTAAGTTACATGGACTTCCAACCTAAAACCAATTGACAGTGGATTGATTCATGCTCCTTATATATTAATTATGTTCCTTATATATTAGTTAGGATCTCTTCCAACTTCTGATGTGGGATATTATTCCTAATAATATATCATATTCTTAAATATATTATAGGATTTTTTAGGGTTTATACTAAAATATCGTTAATATATATATTCACAAAGTTAATGGAAAATTAAGGCATCCTTAACAAAATAATATTCTTACGTTCTACGAATTGGTCCAGTTTTCACAAAATTCATAACACCAGTATAAAAAAAAATGTCAGAATATAATCTTGTTTTTCTCACATTTGTCTCAGTTCAAAGTCAACTTAGCTACGATATATATCTCTAATCGACAAAAAGATGAACTTGTCTCCTCCTTTTTTTATTATTGCTATTATTACTTTGATTATTGTTAAAGTTATGATAATCCCTAAAACAAATATTCAGACGAAGGAAAAATATCAAAAAGCAACATGCTTCATATAATTTCGAGATACTTACATATTTCGAACGAGGTATTATGACCACTTAAGTTAATCAAAGCGACGTCATTAGAGTAAACACCACATACTTATAAAATAAAGACATGACTAGTGCATGTGTTTATGCTGTCGCTAATTATTCAAGGCCATAAAGATTATATATGTCTATGTCTCGCGTCATTGTCCACTTATCTTTTCTAATTAAAACTTTTAACAAACAAATTATCTTTAGAAGAAAAAAATTGTTATAGCGAGACGAATAATTAGTTTCGTTTTCCTCATATAATTATTTCTTTTGATAAATCCTCATATGGAGGTTTCGAGAGATAAACGGGTGGGATTAAAGCAATTCATGTCTGATCAAATTATTAATGTTAATCTTTCTAATCAAATGGGTTGTCATCCTTTACGGCTTTACATCAACAAAAAGGAAAATAATAATTAACATAAACTCGACTTTTAATTTAGATTTCAAAGACATAATGAGATTACATTTTAAATTTCCCTTTTTCTTGATATTTCGAAACCCGTTTGAGAATCTTTGCTGAACTTGAATGATTCTTTTGTAACTTTGTGTCGTGTTCACTTGTATCCCATCAAACATCTATTCCTAGTTAGAGTGAAATAAATGGATCTATTCATAATTATACACAAAACCTTCATCATAAGCAAATTTCGTTGTCGACGACGAATTTTAAAATTTAGTTAGATTGTTGGTTTAGGCAATGATGATTACCACTTACACAAGTGTGGAGTTTTGACATGCTTCTACCATTTTATAAAAATAGATTGATTAAATAACATTCTAAATTTTAAACATTTTTGCAAACATATGTTTATTTTTTTTTAGTTATAATACATAATTTAAATGATTATAAACAAACCCGAGTAAACTGTACTTAGCAAAGAATCTTATCGTTTTCTCTATCTTTTTTGTGGGTTAAAACAACGAATCATATCACTATTGTTCTTATATTAATTTAAATTAGCAAAGCAAAACGTTAAAAGAAATTTTAAAATATGTTCTTCTTCTCAGAAACTATAGAAGAAACATGCATCTTGGGAAATACATGAATCAAACAAACAATATCAAACAAGAAACTTCACTGCCACTTGCCAGCAAATGCCACGTAAGTACGAACCCAGCCGTGTGGACAGCGATGCACCGTGATTTAAACTAATGCATTTCCTGAAGATCAAGTAAGGTCGTGATTAATGCATTTCGTATTCAAATTACACAGTATCTGAAGTTGATAGACCATGTCGAGTCCATTGTCCAAACATTAATTAAATGGACCTTTTTTTCTGAGAAAACATTTAGTGGACGTTTTCATCAGATTTTATTTTCTCTTTACAGCTAATATATAATATCTATGGGTGTAACATTATAGTAACGTTAATATGATATTCGATAGTATTTTTCGTTGCTTATAATTAAGATATATTTATGGAAGTAAAAAGTAACGATATGTTTGTGAACTGTTTTTTTATTTTATTTTTGCGGTGTACGATTAATTGTAGAAGTGTATAACAAAACGTGATCGAATAAATCATACGTGTCGCAGTCAAAATGACATGACAGGTTTGAAAGAAAAAATGATAAAGAGACCAATAAATATTAAATAGTTATGTATTATTTTAAAATGTCACCGTCTGGATGACATTGTACACGAGAAACTTGGACGTGTGCATTGACGCGTATCTTGTCCTGCCTGGACTCGACCCTGATTTCTAATTAAAATTTAAAGTGTTATATACTTGCAATATACGACATTAATATGTTTTTTTGACATTATATATATGGCAAAAAATATACAGCCACCGACGTACAGATTGGCATGCTCTTTTTCGTTTCTATATTTGTAGTTTTATGTATTTTTTTTTTAAAAAGTTATAATTATACGATAGCTGTAACAAAAAACTATATACAGACATACAGTATACAATAAACTCAACTCTGACCGAAAAAAAAAATTGTTTGGTAGTTATATGTTACTTGTTTCAACAACTATAATTAACTAAAAATATTTGAAAATCAAAATCGGTGATACCATTTAAAAAAAAAAACTAACACAAAAATAGAATTTCGCCATCTAAAATAAACAACTAGCTTTGACATCTATACTAAATAAAAGGAACTATTTGGGGCTCCTTAAGCTATCTACCTCAGCTTTTCAAACTACTCTAAAAATATGACACATCAGCAAAAAATAATAATACAAATTCCCACTTTAGATTTTTTTGAAATACACATAAAGTAAATAAATAGAATCAAAATTAATATAGTTAAATACAAGAGTAAATAAAAATAAAATATTATTTTTTGAATCAATAAAATAAATATTATTTAAATCTATAGCATCAATATATACTCTTTTGTTTGTAATATAACAAATTAACAATAATGAAAATTTTCACTTTAGATTTTTTTGAAATACACATAAAATAAATAAATAGAACCATTAAATTAATATAGTTATTAGCAAAAACTAAATAAAACTATATATCATTTTAATCAATAAAATAAATATCATTTAAATCTGTAGTATTAATATATACTCATTTTTGTCACTAAAATTAATATAGTTACGAACAAAAGTAAATAAAATTAAAATATTATTTTTTGAATCAGTAAAATAAACATCATTTAAATTTATAGCATCAATATATACTTCTTTTGTTTGTAATATAACAATAATAAAAAAATTTACTTTATATCTTTTGAAATACACATAAAATAAATAAATAAAACCACTAAGTTAATATAGTTATTAGGAATAAGTAAATAAAACTAAATATCATTTTCGAAATCAGTAAAATAAATATCATTTAAATCTGTAGCATTAATATATACTCATTTTTGTAATATAGTGAATATATTGGACAAGAAATTGCTCTAAAAAACTTAAATAATAGTTAATAGAAACAAGATTACAAAATAATAATTTCTAAAATAAAATTTAAAACATTTACAAATTATAAAAATCTAAAACATTCACCTTTTAGAAACATAAAGATTAAACATCATAGTACGTTAGATTTATGACAACCAACAAGACAACATAAATTATAGGAAGCTTTTCAAAGCATCTATCTATATGAAGATTTCGATCATCGTTACTATTTACATTGCAGAAAATGATAGACAAAAGAAGAATTTCATGCACTGATATTTATTCAATGTGTGTCTTAGTTGGCTTAAGGTAGTCAAGTTACTACAAGCGATACATGTCA